GGACAGGATCAGGTGTAACGTGAAAATTAAAAACAATCACTTGATTTTTGAAAAATCACATTAATCTCAAAATTTCGTCTAAGAAACCATCTTTTGTGCACTAATAAAAAAATTCCTTGCAAAATTTTAGTATAAGGGCACCTCCTAACTTTATTGCTAACCCTAGCCAAGGCGTCATATTTTAAAAAGATATCATGTAAACAAATCCACTGTAGTAATTTTTTTCTGCCAATTTTTATGGCAAATGATTGTTATAATCTTTGTAAAAAAAGTCACCGTTTTAAAATTTTAATTCATTAAAGATTTTTCAAATATTACATATAAAATTTCAACCCAAAAATGAAATTTACTATAAATTAACTTTTGCGAATCGATTTTTAATCTACTAATGCTTTGATAGGATTTTGCCGATCTATGCATAAAATCTGCACTATTAATTTTTATTATGACCCCTGACATAGATTAAGGTTTGGGTTACACGAATTTTTAGTTATTTTAATTGGTTGTACTAAGTAAGTTGTTACAAATGAGGAAAACTAGACAATTTAAAATATGACTTATATTTAAATTGTTTTAGCGACACTCAAATAAACAATTCTCTTAAAAAGGTTAAGTTTTCTAACGAAAGTTTCTGTTTTGTCAGCGACATTAATTTATACGTAAAATAGTAATTGATGCAGAATAATTTTAAATTCCCTAAAAATTCCAAAGAAATATTTTTTACAATTTATTTAAAACTTACAAATAATACACATTTATTATGATGCGACGCTTAAATATCAAAATCATAAACTTAACTCTAATTATTATTTTAGCAGCATTTACATATGTTAGTCTTTGGTACTTATATTCGCAACAACCACTTTTGAATTATTTTAATAAGTTTTCTTTTTATAAAAATTTAGACGCGACCCTTGGCTTTGACCATATTTACATTACAAATGTTTCAGGTCGGCCAGGAAAATATGAAAAATTAAAATTAATGGAAAATGAATTAAATTTAACATTCGATTTCTTTCCAACCATTTCCCAATTTGATAATGAATCGCAACCATTACAAAGAGCTTATATTAATCATGTTATTTATCAATCAATTGTGGATCATAATTATAGAAGCGCATTAATTTTAGATGATGATATAGATTTTGAATTTAACATCAAGTCAATTATGACAGATATTCATCGCATATTACCAACTAATTGGGAAATTCTATATCTTGGTCATTGCAGCAATTGGGAAGGGAACTCAGGTGATCCTTTGCCAAATTACAACCATGGAAATTCTATTTATAAACTTTTTATATCTAATAGGCCATATTGTACACATGCTTACGCTGTTTCACTTCGTGGTGCTTTTAAACTATTGAAAAAGCTTGTTAACTTAACGGCTCCAATCGATCTTGACTTAACTAATATGATTACTGCAAATGAAATTACCTCATATACTATTATACCACCGGTTATATCGAGATGTCATATTTCTGATGATCCAACAAATCTCTATCCAGGAAGAAATACATTAGACTTGTACTCTTTAAAGAATTCCACTTTACATTCTCTCGGGCTTAATTATGATTTAAATAATACTCTCGGCTTTAGTCACATTTACGTTATTAATCTTATAAATCGGCGAGATAGACGCGAAAGATTAGAAATTTTGGCGAAAAAACTTAATTTAAAATTCGAATTTTTCCCTGCTGTCTCTCGAGATGATGAAAATGCGCTCAAAGAACTTGCTCGAGAAGACTCTTATTTAAACCCATCTCAAGTTGCTTGCTATCTTAGCCATTATAAAGTCTACCAATCAATAATTCATAATGGATACGATAGCGCTTTGATATTAGAGGATGACGTAGATTTCGAACTTAATATCGCATCAATTATATCAGATATATATAGATTTTTGCCTTCCAATTGGGATATCTTTTTTCTTGGTTATTGTAGCTATACTGAAGATTCCGGTAGTCTATTAGATGGCCAAAATATTTCATCACCTTATAAAATACATAAATCTCATATACCATATTGCCTTCATGGTTACGCCGTTTCACGTGCTGGCATACTCAAATTAGTAAAACAACTTGACCCAATAACTGACACAATTGATGCAATAATGGTTTATTTAATTCAGTCAGGATATCTTGACTCTTATTCTCTTGTACCATTGGCAATGGTACAGTGGCGTTCTTCTGTTAATCCATCAAGCATTTCTCCTGAATTTAGATATCATTATTTCATCTCTTTACAGCATTCTGCTTTAGAGCAATTTGAACTTATTAAAGAAACTAATAATACTCTTGGATTCAATAAGATTTACCTCATTAATTATGAGGACGAGCCGGACTATCAAAAGATTGTTGAAAAGTTATCAAAAATGTCTGATAAATTATGTTTAGTTTTTACCAATTTCAATGCTACTTCCTCTTATTCAAGTCATTATGAAATCTACAAATCAATTATCAATGATGAATATGGTAGTGCTTTGATTTTAGAAGGAGATATGGACATTGAACTTAGAATCACATCAATTATGGTCGATATACATCGAATTTTACCTGCTGATTGGGACATTATATATCTTGGCTATTGTAATAATTCTGAAGGTAAATCTGGTGAACCTTTACCGGGCAGCAATAATAATTCACCTGTTTATAAGTTATTTAAATCCGAGATGCCATATTGCACATTTGCCTACGCCGTCTCACATGCCGGTGCTCTTAAGTTATTAAACAAACTTGGCAGCTCAACAAAATCATCACTTGATGTAGAACTAGTTAACATTATTCAATCGAGAGAAATCAATTCATATACTCTTGTACCACCAATTATCGTTAAATCCGGAAAATCATATTCCGATAAAGAAATTCCTGACATACATATTTTAAAAAATTCTACTAGTAAATATTTTAAATTAGATGTATAGATATATATTTGATATTGTAATTTGCCTTTCTGAGAGGTGCAAGCAGATTCAACTGATCTTGAACCCAAATTATTGATTTAAAATACAGTCGTACCTTGATTATATCCCCACCCATTATATCCAAACTTTAAATATATCAAAATATAAATAAAATACAATGTCTTTATAATATTGTTATAATAACTTTACCTTAATTATATCTCTTTAAAATATATCCCTATTCTTAAATTCTTACAATTGTAATTTTCTATTGTAATTAACCTCATAGAAGAAGTTCGTCTGATTGGCTAATTTTTATGGATCCACCCGCATTACCCGTGATAATTAACTAATCAAATTACGTAATTCCAAAAAATTCATGCTCATATATAGAGATGGGCACTATGCGCATGGTGTTCATGCATGCATGCAATTATGCATACGCCTGATATGCATGTTATGCACCA